CGGAAAATGGAGCTTGAAGCTCACCGATCTGAGAAGGCAAAAGCTTATGATTCTCAGGCGAGTCAATGCCGGAGAAACTGAGTCAGCTCTGCCGTTAGAGAGAAAGAGAGTGGTGACAAGATGATGAAGAAAACAAGAAGGGGAAGAATATCATTTTATATTAAAAAATAAAAATGTGTATATATGAATTAAAAATGGAAATATAGAAATAAAATTCACGTTATAAATATGAATATTAGTAGTGACAAAAATAAAAAGTGAGGTAACAAAGAGACCATACAAAAATTATTCTTTGTATACCCAATACAATTGGGTAATTGTACTGCAACGACTCAATTTTACTCCCGCTCTAATGGAGGGGAAGTATATCTATTATATTATTTGAAAAGTCATAAAGAAAAAATTGTAAAATATTATAAATCAAATAAAAGAAATTGATTATCGCGTCATTGCATAAAATTATTAAAAAAATAAAAGAAAAGATTTGAATTGACGCATTATCGGATAAATAATATTTGACGCGTCGATCATATAGACAAATTAAGAATAAAATGAACAGATATGATTGACACAGTTTAAGAATAAAAAGATAAGATATGATTAACGCGTCATCGGATAAACAATTTAAGAATCAAATAAAAAGATATGATTAACGCGTCATCGTATAGACAGTTTAGGAATAAAATGAAAATATATAATTAACGCGTCATCGTATAGACAGTTTAAAAATAAAACAAAAATATATGATTAATACGTCATCATATAAATAATTTAAGAAGAAAATATTGATTTATATTTTAAAGCTAATTTACAGTCAGTATACTATTTATACTTATACTACTAAAGTTAATATAATATTGAATACCTTTTAAATATCATTTAATTGAATATTTTAACATCTATATTTTAGAATAACAATCTTATATAAAAGAATTCTCAAGAAAAAAAAATTTACATTTTATCACATACACCTTTTATTAACAAAGTATGACGCGTCATCGTATAAATAATTTTTTTGTTAATAATATTTTATACCTAGATTTTAGTTATTATACTACTTATATTTACGCTACTAAAGTCAATATGAGCACAAATATATTTTTATATAAACAGTTCAATTTTAAACACTAAACTCTTTAATTGATTAGTCAAAAATCTTATGAAATATCAATATATTAGAGAACTATATTTGATAATCTCCCAAGATTGAAAGCTAAGAATATATTTTATGCAATAGTTAATCAATCATGCACATGAATTTATAAATACAATTAATACTGATAGAGTTTTTTTT